GCCGCGCGCCCCCGCCGCCAGGGCAGCGGCCGCGGTGCACGGGCATCTGTGTGTCTGTGTGTCCACACCTCCATCGCGCGCGCACGCCTTTTGTGGCCCTGCCGCGACCGCCCCGTGCACACGGGGGAGGCCGGGACCCCTCTTTGTTCTGGCTGGGGTGTGAGTGTGTGCACGCGCGCTGGCTGGCTTGCCGGGTGGGAGTTCGAGGGAGGTGGGCGGTTTAAATATTCCACCGAGGATGGCAGCCCCCGGCTGGCGACCTGTCCCCGCGGCGGGGTCCCCCGCGGCCGACCCGATGCCAGGCGGCTGCTCCTTGTCAGCCTGCGAGACGGATTTTCACGTGCGTGTCCCCAGCACTTAAGCAAACCGAGCGCCGCGGTTCCGGGTGTGCCTGCCCCGCTCACGCTCGCGTGCTCAAGTCCTGTGCTTTCCCCAACGCCAGACGGCGTTTTTTTGTTGTTGGTGGTGTGGGTTTTAAACCACGGAGACTTTGGCTTTTGTTTTATTTCATATCAGTTTGTGATTCACGAAGCTTGTGGCATTTGGTGGTAGCATCTGAGTGGGGGCTGGCTTTCTGTTTGTGTGTTTTTTGCATGATGTGGGATTGTCTCCCTGCTGTATCTAAACATTAAACAGCCTGTCTTTTCGTTGAAGAGGACAGGGGTTAAAATGAATGAAGACCTGAAGGGCAATGTAAGCGGGCTGCCTCGGGATTATTTAGATGCCCGTGCTGCGGAGAACGTCTCGGCTGCTGCCTCCTCCCAGGTTCCTGTTGTAGAGCCAGAGCCAGAGCTCATGGTCAACCCCTGGGACATTGTCTTGTGTACCTCGGGTACCCTCATCTCCTGTGAGAATGCCGTCGTGGTCCTTATCATCTTCCATAACCCCAGCCTGCGTGCACCCATGTTCCTGCTGATAGGCAGCCTGGCTCTTGCAGACCTGCTGGCCGGCGTCGGACTGATCATCAATTTTGTTTTTGCCTACCTGCTTCAGTCAGAAGCCACCAAGCTGGTCACAGTTGGACTCATTGTCGCCTCTTTCTCTGCCTCTGTCTGCAGCTTGCTGGCTATCACTGTGGACCGCTACCTCTCCCTGTATTACGCTCTGACCTACCACTCGGAGAGGACGGTCACATTTACCTATGTCATGCTGATCATGCTCTGGGGGACGTCCATCTGCCTGGGACTGCTGCCCGTCCTGGGCTGGAACTGCCTCCGAGACGAGTCCACCTGCAGTGTGGTCAGACCCCTCACCAAGAACAACGCCGCCGTCCTCTCCATCTCCTTCCTCTTCATGTTTGCACTCATGCTCCAGCTCTACATCCAGATCTGCAAGATCGTGATGAGGCACGCCCACCAGATCGCCCTGCAGCACCACTTCCTGGCCACCTCGCACTACGTGACCACCAGGAAGGGGGTCTCGACCCTGGCCATCATCCTGGGGACCTTCGCTGCTTGCTGGATGCCTTTCACCCTCTATTCCTTGATAGCTGATTACACCTACCCCTCCATCTACACCTATGCCACCCTCCTGCCCGCCACCTACAATTCCATCATCAACCCTGTCATCTATGCTTTCCGAAACCAAGAGATCCAGAAAGCCCTCTGCCTCATTTGCTGCGGCTGCGTCCCGTCCAGCCTCTCCCAGAGAGCGCGGTCCCCCAGCGACGTGTAGCAGCCCTCCACGCAGGGGGACACTGCGTTTACCAAGCACTCCCACTGCCTGGCCAAACTGTTGAGATGCTTTCCTTAAATCCTTTCTGCTGGATTCTCTTTGAGCCATAGGAGAGCTCAGCACTCGTGAAGCGTTCGTTTAGATGAGTTAAGTGATTGAAGTGAAAATAATGCTCTTAGTGTTTTCACTCTTAAAAAAAAATGGTTGAGTTCTTTGCTCAATATTATTTTGTTTTGTTTTGGGGGTGGGCTTTAAAAAAAATCTTTGGAGGTAGGGTTTTTGTTTTCTATTCTGTGGGGAGGATTGGTAGTGGGTGGGAAAGGAAGGGCTATGACGCGTCCATGAAATTATAAAAAGTAAACTCGTCCCAGAGTTTACCGGACTTTAAAATAAAACTGAGTTATTGAGGAAAATGGAGAAGTTACTTTTTGCAGGCTTTTTTGTTTTAATGTCAAGGTAGATTTTCACTGCCGCGTGTATCTACCAGAATGCAGTCACTCTCAAGCCAACAGAAATCGTTTACATGGTTATGTTTGGAAGGAACCTGAGTTTAGTGACATGAACTCAGTAATAAGTTACCAACATTGAAACCGTGAACCCCCGTTCTTATTCGTTCTTTCCTTCCTTTCAGCAATTACTGTTTACCAGAGTTATTTTGGTATTTCTGTGAATGTTGTAATTCTTTCTGCATGGTTGCCTGTGTCAGCTAGACCACTAGTTTCAAATGTTGCCGTGTAAATCCAGAATCAAATGTGAGTCACTTTTTAATATAGGTTTTCAATATGTCCTTCTAAAATGAATTGTGAAATTTGTCTTGATTTACATATGAAGTAAGATTGATTAGGTACACCATGGTAGTTTTTTAAACTACAGTCTCATTGTGTTCAGGAAACAAAAGAAAAAATGAATAATATTATTAAAAGTAGATTAAAATTATTTTAGTATATTCTGAAAAAATTAATCCATGGAAAGCTATCAGAAAATATGAAAAGCACCACCTTTCCTCTCTCTATTTAAGACTATATTAATAGGTATTCTTGATGGAAGCAAACAGAATTAAATATAGTAGACAAGCATTTCTGTTCATACTGTCTGTGGTATCGGTGCATTTGAAACAGGTGGTCTCCTATTTTCCTGATTAAATTTGTGAGTGAACAATGTACCCGTCTGATTGTGATGTGTATCAGCTCTGTCCTGTAAGTTTACAGCCAGAATGACCATGTGGCTGTTTGTGAAAAGTTAAATTTGACCTCCAATCTTTCTCTTCACCGAAAAACAACTTAAATGCAATAAAAACTATATTGCCTGTTTTCAGAGATCAAGGATTTAGTCAGGAAATGATACAGAAGAATTCATTTATATATATTGTAAAATCGTTGTGTCTGAGTGTCACTTCCATTAGCGAGACAGACGTTCTGGACACGGATAACCTTCCCTCTGTTTGCAGTGCGTTTATGGCTGTGTCTGTACAACCAGTGGAAGACTTTCTGGACAGCACATCAGCGTAGCCCAAGCCTGGTGTTTCAGGGCCCTTGGGGAATCATTCGTAATAAGTTGACGTCGCTGGTCTGTCCCAAACATTATGCCCGTGGTGGTCTCAGGACCGGTACAACAGCCCGCATGCCGATACCACCTCCAGCGCCCCTCAAATCATAGCACAAGCGTGAGCAAATCCTAGGCTTGAATCTGTGCCTCCTCCCTTAGGTTACTCTGAAGCAGGAGAGGGGCTGAAATATTTCAGAAGTGGGGAAGGATTTCAGTACATATCACTGTATGATCAACCTCGTCAAGCTGATGCCTTTAAAAAAAATCCATCCACATGGGATGCAGTTGGTAGGCTGAATATGTTGAATATGTTTTTAATCACTTAAAAGTTAATAGCATCCCCATGTGAGAAATGAGGAAGGTAAGACTGGTTTCGACGGGGGCCGGGGGAGTATCCATAATGAGGCTTGAAAGCAATAAATGACGTTTCTGTAGAAATGGTGGTTGCCATTTGCATATCTCTAGTAGTAAAAATGATAGTGATCAGCAGAAGTACTGTGTTTCACCACATGTTGTGTGCCGGCCCCTTGCTGGGGGCTTTACCTGCTCTGTTCCTGTATTCACAAACACACACTTCTAAATTTAAGAAAACTGAGGCTAAGAGAACCTAAGAAATTGGTCCGAGGCCACAGAGCTTCAAGGGTCAAGCCAGGCTCTGAACCCAGGTTTTCGGAAGTCCCTGCCTTTCTCCTTCCCCGCACGGGGCTGCCTTTGATGCCCCCCTGGATCCGAGAGGGAGGAAAAGGTTTATAACATGGTACTGCCACTAAAGCTTTAGTTCCACAGTTAAGACATAAAGTTCCTGTTTAAAATTACATGTGATGTGACTATCAGCTTGGTCCTACTACGTGAAAGGGGTCTTAGGTCTCCTCTCCCCTAAGCATTTCCTCCACTTGGAGCCGAGACCAACCCCCAGAGACACATGGCAATATTTTAATTTAAAGACGTGAGGGCACTCTTATTGTGCAGAGATTGTCCCTTCCTTTACTATTTTTAGGGGAGGGGAAATTAGGTTTATTTATTTACTGTTTTTCTTTTTTTAATGGAGGTACTGGAGATTGAGCCCGGGACCATTTACTATTTTAAATTTCATGTTACCCACTTACCTCAGTACATAATGATCTTGTAAGTCCTGTAAATGGTTGATTTTGCCTCCTAGTTTTAAAACATCTGCTTTCCACTGAGATTTTCCATCGACTACAACATGTCCTTTCTGTGGACTTTAAATTGTGAAGAATTCTGGATGTTTATGTGGTTTCTTCAAAGCGTCTTGTTTCTACCGGGTTAATGATTAAGAAATGCTCGTGTGTCTTGTTATCTGTGTGTATGTCTCTGTATGTATAATATGCTTATATATGTGCAGTAAGATGAACTTTGCAACTGAAAACAGCATGGAAACAGTCATTTGCCAGCAGTCCTAAGGTAGCAGGTGATCTTACTCCATGTGATTAAAATTTTTAGCTGCCAAGAAACTTGTGTTAGTTTCCGGTAGAAAGAGTTACACTTGTAATGATGACAGCTCAGCTCTAGGCTCAGTATCCAAGTTGTGGCGTCCTGGGGTTCGTTTCCTTTTATCCCTCGTAGCTCTGTTTCTTTGTCTCTGTCACGGTTGTTTCTTGGTGGTGGAGGGGGCTGTTCCCTCTGGTACCTGGAGGCAGAGGGGGTGACCCAAGGAGAGCACCTCCTTTCCCGGAAGCCTAAATTACACAGCCGCGTTCAGGAGGGGAGAAGTCCTCGGCTGACTTGGCAGCAGGAATCGTCTGGGAGTCCTCCAGAATTTAAAGCAGGATTTAAACAAACTTAAAAGAGAAAAATGAGAAATAAATGTTTAGTGCCAATGAAAGTATCTTGGAGACTTTAAACTTAGTTTTTTTAGAGAAATGCTTAGTCCATTATTAAAATGATTGACTTTATTTCATGATAAATATATATCCTATGAAATTAGGATGACTTAGCATTTCAAATTTAAAATGCATATTAAATAAGTGACTATGTTGGTGTTATATTGAACATTTGTTTCCACTTGGATTATATGCCTGGTGTAATAAAGGGACAGATGGCCTTCTTGTCCTCTTTAAAAGATGTCGTGATTATTGGATGGTTTTGACACCTGGCTGTGGTAGTGGAGGGAGGGACCCCTAAATGAGGAAGCCCACTGAAGTGTGGGTGCTTGCCGCTGGCTGTGGAAGCATTTGCACGGCAGAGGCAGAGGGATGAAGTGAACAGGCACTTTATTGCTCAGAAGGGGAAGTGAAAGGCAAGTGCTGGAGCAGAGAGAGGGAGGAAAAGCTCTCAAGCAGGAGAGGCGCTCAGGTGGGGAGCCGTCAGCCAAGGTGGGCGGCAGAGACAGCTCCTGCCTGGGCTGGGCCACGTGGACTTTTACGGGAGGCTCCCACCATCAAGTCCTCCTTCTGGGCGTGGTGGAGCCAATCAGTCCTTGTTCGGGTTTTTCAGTGCTTGTGTGGACCCTTCCGGTTGTTGTCATGGTGATTGCGACTGTCATGGTGTTGGTGGGTGTGCCACTTAGCAGCTAATGCATTACAACGAACGAATAATGAGGCTCAAGGTCACTGGAAGTCAAGTCCTCCACCATCTTGGACTCTGTGTCGGTTCTAACCAGTTCTTGTTTCTTCTCTGCAGCTGCCTCCTGACACTTAGATAAGAGTAATTGGTTTCTGTTTGAGGGAGGGCCAGGGGTATGATCCGGGGGCAACAGCCTTGGTAACAAAAAGGAAAGTTGCCTTTTAATCAGAGTGCCTGCAATCTGGTGGACCCAGCATCCCCCCCCCCCCCAATTTCAAAAGATTCTGTTCAGCTATGAAAGTTTTAAAGGGAAATGGGTGAGTGATCTCAGTTAACTGTTGAGATAGGTGGTTAGAGTCCTTGCCATCCCTCGGTGCCTGCAGGCTTGTCCTCACCAACTGCTGGAGCTGCTCTTCTGTGACTCACGGAGGCGGGGAGACTCGGCTTTTTTATAGACAAGGGGCTGGGGTGGGGGGTGGCAGGCTTTACTGGAATCTTAAAATCTGGTTAGATCTTTTAGAATCATCACCATAGTTTATGTACATCAAGGAAGTAAAAATGTGGTTTGAATTAACAGACAGGTTTACTGATCTATTGTCCTCTGGCAAACGATGCAGAAAAAAGGTACTGGTAATTTTGACTAGGGATCCTCAAAATTTAAATATTTAAAAGATACACAAATCACCTGAGACTCTTGTTAAAATGCAGATTCTGCTTCAGTAGATCTGGGCATTGCTGAATTTCTAGCAAGCTCCCA